AGAACTTCAGTTATTTTGTTAACAACTAATGCATGTCAGCACACCCACACACGTACATACATGCCATCACTACCAACACCTCTGGAGTCAGCCCCTCCTGAGTTTTCTCATTTCTGCCTCCAGATATGAATTTTTTCTTACAGAGGGGACACTATGAGGAAATGTTGATTCCTGTCCTCTCTCACCTCTCTTTAGGGGTGTGGAGTTAGGGGGGTCCAGTCTTTTGGTCATCTTAGCCATGCCTAAGAGTGTTGTACTGTACTTGGTGATCTCAATACCATAGTGCCTGGTCTCTAACCAGTAAGAATACTAAGTTCATGTTATTCTGTAAGTCTAGGATGAGATTAATTTATTACTCCCTATTTAAAGTTTTATTTTTCTCAAACACCATGCCAGCAAGACTAATTCATTTCTCCAGAGCCATTGAGTGGTCTGTTTATTACTTGGTAGGCCATACCTAGCTTCGATAACTAATTCCAAGTATTGTTTAGTTCTTACCCCTTATCTTAATGCCACTAGCCTTCTTTCCCAATAACCACCATCTGCCACTCCCCAGAAGATGAAGTATTTTGTTTTCTGAGGCCTTGGGAAGCTATGTGAGTTTTAAAATATTTGTGATTTTTACTAACTCAATTTACATAATGTACCCCTAGTACAGTTAATAACTACTTGGCTTAATAAACATTTCTTGAGTTCCTACCATGTTCCAGGCACTTTGCCAGGCTTTAGAATTAAAAAGAAAGAAAGCTAAAAATGAATTAGGATTAGGAATAATTCTAACAGAGACACAAAAAAGTAGTGCCTTAAACAAGACAGAAGTTTATTTATCTTTCATGTAAAAATCTAGATGTAGAAAAAAAAATCTAGATGTAGAAGCTCATGGCTGATAAGGGGACTCCATGAATGTCTGGGACTCAGTGGAAAGCTTACTTCCAACTTTTTACTATGCCATCCCTAGGAATGAGCCTCATTCTCATGTTCCAAGATGTCGCTCCTGCCATCATATCTATATTTTAGAGAAACATGATAAAGGAAGGATGAGACATAAAGAGTATGATAGCTATCTTTTAAAAAAAATTTCCAGATACTGCTATATATTTCATCTTCAGCTAATATCTTATTTGTCAGAAGTTAGCAACATGGGACACCTGGGTTGCTCAGTGGTTGAGTGTCTGCCTTTGGCTCAGGTCGTGATCCCAGGTCCTGGGCTTGAGTCCCACATCGGGCTTCCCCCAGGAAGCCTGCTTCTCCTTCTGCCTATATCTCTGCCTCTCTCTCTGTGTCTCTCATGAATAAATAAATAAAATTAAATTTAAAAAAAGAGCGAGAGAGAGAACTTAGTAACATGAACGAATAGCAACACATAGGCTGGGAAATGTAGTCTTTATCCCAGGCATCGGTTTCCCAGCTAAAAACTGGAGATTCTAATGAGGAAAGAGCAGGTAAGGAAGAAGAAAATCAACAACTGTCATCAAGACACAGTCCCTGCCCTCTGGACAGATAAGGGAAGGAAATACCTGTAAGAATGCATAACAGGGGATCTAATTCACACTGGGCAAAGCTCTCTAGAGATAGGGGCTTCTGAACTGAATTTTTAAGGAAGAGTAGAAATTAGTCAGGCAAAGGGCATGGTGGTGGTCGGTGGTGCTGATGGTGGTAAGGGAAATCCTACATAGAGGAAGTAGCAACTTTCCAGAAGCTGAAAGATTATAGGAGTGAGTAGCACTTCATTGTGGTTGCAGTGTATGTTTAAAGATCAGGAATACTAAAAGATGAAGTTGGAAAGATAAGCAGGTAGGTTAGCTCATGTCATATCTAGTCTACATTGCATAATAATTATTTAGAGTGACAAAATATTTTGAAAAAAAGTTCCCTCTTAAGCTCTCATTTAAATGTTTATGAAACCACTAAACATTGATATTTAAGAAAATCAGTAATATTTGTAGAGCATCTTACTTTTCACAGTACAATCATAAATAGTGCAAAGATAGAAGCCATTTGCTACAATTCCTCTAAGATGATCAGTCTTCTCCGATCCTAGCAACAAAAGAATCCAACTAGATCAAAATTTTCCTTATTTACCTGCTTATAAGTTTCATAAGGATTAATCTCTGCTTCCTCACAAAAAGTGTCTAAAAATTGCTCTGTGTTCAGTGTATCCATATTAGAGACAAAAAGCTAAAAAGCCTAAGGTGTGAGTTAAATAGCTAAGATTCTGAGTGGTAGTCACCAGGAAGACAGTAATTTGATGCTGCCTCCAGCAGAGGACATTCTTTTAGAGGTCCTGGACTCAATTCCAATGCCCCACCCTGCCAAAATCAAGCAATTCTCAGACACCAGCAGGGTGTCCAAGAATTCAACTCAATTCTGACACTATCTACCCAGAGATAGTATCAGATGATTCTACAGGTTAAGGGTTATCCTGAAAGACTGTCCTTCACTCCCCACTTCAGATGCCAGTTGCAAGCCCCGGGCTGTTACCTGTGCTTCTGAACCAACTGGCTACTGATGAAAGGTTCCAGTGACCTTCTCCTTAGGTCAGATTAATTTGTTAGAGGGACTCAACAGAATTCAGGGAAACATTTAAATTTACCAGTTTATTAAAGGATATGACAAAAGATACAAATCAACAGATGAGATACATAGGGCAAGGTCACAAACAAGAAAGAATCTGTGTTCTGGGAGCCTGGGGCTCAGCTTGTTGGTACGCAGAAATGTTCTGCTTCCCCAGGCATGGGAGTTCTCAAAAAAAGGACCTATAAGCTATCTTCTTGAGTTTTTCACAGAAGCTTCATTAATAGTCATGATTGACTAAGTCATTGGCCATAGGCTCATTCAATCTCAAGCCCCTCCCCCCTCCTTGGAGGTGTGGTATGGGGAGAGGTAGGGCTGAAAGTTCTAACCCTCTAATCACAGGCTTGGCTTCTCAGGCTATCAGCCACCAGCCTTAGGTGGGGTCCAAAAGTCACCTCCTCAACATGACAAAAGACACTTAGAACCCTCTCAATACATAGGAAATTCCAAGGGTTGGGGAGGCAGAGGGCTGTGACCAGGAACTGCCGATGAAGACCAAATATATATTTCTGAGTCACCAAATACATATTTCTTCTAAATCACAACACTGCAAGCATCATAATAAATATGTAAATATTTTCATCCTATAAGTGCGTTCTTTTTTTTTTTTTTAAGATTTTATTTATTTATTCATGAAAGACACAGAAAGAGGGGTAGAGACACAGGTAGGAAAAGCAGGTTCCCTGTGGGGAACCCGATGCAGGGACTCAGGCACTGATCCTCTGGGACTCTGGGATCACGCCCTAAGCCAAAGGCAGATGCTCAACCACTGAGCCACCCAGGTGTCCCCTATAAGTACATTCTTAACTCAAACAAAGCAAAAAAGTAAGTCGGTGGCCATGGAGATGACCAGAGGTAGAGTTTCGGTCTGTGATAAAGAGGGTTTGCACAGATGGGTACAGTAATTCTTGCTATATCCTTCTGCAATATGACTTTTCTGCTCCTCCCATCGAAAGATGGAATTTATTTCCCTATCTCTTGAATCGTGATGCCCCTGTGACTTGTTTTGACCAAGAAACACAGTGGAAATAATTCTGCGTATTACCTTTGACACTGGGCCTGAGACTGGTATGGAAGTCTGTCTAGCCTAGGAATGATGAGAGGCCACATGGAGGGAAAGTAAGGCAACCCAGCTAACAACTAGCATCAATTGCCAGCCATTATGCCATCTTGTACCTTCTACCCCAGTGACCCCTCCAGCTGAATGCAACCATATGAGTGAGCCCAAGTGAAACCAGCAGAACTCTTTATCCAATGCACAGAGCATAAGAAATAATAAATTGTTTTAAGCCACTAAGTCTTAGGGTAGTTTGTTACATAGCAATAGGTAACTGAAATAGGATCATTCCCTTGATATTTTAATTTAAAATACATTACCACTATAGCATATGACTCAAAAGCAATGAAGGCAAGGGTGCTTGAGTGGCTCAGTCAGTTAAGCTTCCAACTCTTGGTTTCAGCTCAGGTCACGGTCTTATGGGTTGTGAGATGGAGCCCCATTTAGGGCTCTGCACTCAGCAGGGAGTCTGCTTGAGATTCTCTCTCTCCCTGTCTCTCTACCCCTCCTCTCTGCACACTCTCTCATAAATAAATAAATAAATAAATAAATAAATAAATAAATAAATAAATAAATAAATAAATAACAATGAAGGCTTGCTATCACATCCATTTCAAGTTTAGTGTAACAGACTACAAAATGAACTGGTAATAAGGAGTCAGAGTGTTCATTACTAACACCTGAAGAAAACAGCAGCTTAAAGTGTTAGATATCTGTAAGACACCTGTAGGGGTCTCCAGAACTAGAGGGAACATTCAGACATGGATATTAGAAATAGAAAGCAGAATCAGACTTATACCACATGATCTTACCCATATGTGGAACCTAAAAAATAAAACATGAGTAAATAAAAACATGGGTATTAGATTCCTGAAACAAACATACTCACTTGGAAAATTCAATATTTAAAACACACAGTTTACCATTAAAAAACTGATAACAGATATATCAAAGAGCATTACGGCACTCCAGATTTATGAGTAGAGATTCCAGTTACCTTTGTAGGTAAGAATGAGAATGACAAAAATGATGCCCCTTGACGCATGAAGATAAAATCCTTGAGTTCTGTGGTATGGCAGTTACCCTCCAAGAAGGCCCCTAGTGATTCTCATTTCCTGGTACTCATTCTCTTGGGAAATATGCTCCCTAAATTATGGCTAACCTGTGTATCCAGTAAAATATGGTGGAAGTAGTGGTGTATGAATTCTGAGGTTGGGTTATAAAGATATTGCAGTGTCCAGCTTGATCTCTCCCTTGATCACTTACTCTTGGGGAAGCTGGTATGTCTTGAGTACACTCATGCAGCCCTATGGAGAGGACCACATAGTGATGAACTGGGGGTTCCAACTAGCCACTAGGATCACCTTACCAGCCATGACAGTGTGTCATCTTGGAAAAAGGTCTTCTAGTCTCAGTCAAGCCTCCAGGTGACTGTAGCTCTGGCTGACACTCCTTTAAAAGAGGTTTATTAAAATTACCATTTATTTACCATAAAATTCAGTGATTTTAAGTGTACAATTCAATGATTTCTAGTAAATTTACAGACTTGTGCGGTTATGACCATGATCTAAATTTAGAATATTTTCATCATGCCAAAAGAAATGCCATGCCCATTAGCAGTTACTTCCCTTTCCACTACCAGCCCCAGGCATTCACTATGTATTTTCTGTGTCTACATCTTTGCCTTTTCAGAAAACTTAATCTAAATGGAATCATGTAATATATCATCTTTTGTGTCTAGCTTCTTTTTAGTGCCTAGCTGACATTTTGAGAGACTCTGAATTAGAACCTCCCAATGAAGTCACTACTGAATTCTTGATGCACAGAAATGGTGTGTCTATTGTTGAAGTTAGCCACTAAGTTTGGAAGTAATTTGTTATACAGTAATAGACAAATAGTACACATGAGTGTGTAATTACTGCTGGGAAACTAAGTCCCTCTGACATCCATGTTCCATTAAACCCAACCCCAAAGGTTCAACATTTGTTACATTAAAACTTGTGGACATGAGAAATTATACTTTACAGTTGTATTGGCATGTTCTGTTAGTGACACAAAACTGTTACCTTTCTATTTTTTAAAAGAAGGTCACTTCCAAATCAGAAGAAAAAGTCTCCACTTTATTTTTAGGTCTACACAGAAGACAGGGTAAGTGAGGAAGAAATGAATTGTGGATAATTAAAATGGGGTGGGTGGGCTACTAAGGAAACTTACTATATTAGCCTGGAAGGAGATTTGGTTGGTCACTTTGGATAACAAAAGACTAGGCTGTAATTGCAGGAGACTTAACTAGCCAGTTGCACACTTAGATTTTGCTATCAAGAAGTCTTTTAGGGGCACCTGGGTGGCTCAGTCGAGTTAAAGCATCTGACTCTGGATTTCAGCTCAGGTCATGATCTTAGAATCCTGGGATTGAGCCCTGCATTGGGTTCCATGTTCAGTGCAGAGTTGGCTTGAGATTCTCTCTCTCCCTCTGACCTCCTCCCTGCTTGTGCACACCTGCTCTTTCTCTCAAATAAATAAATCTTAAACAACAACAACAACAACAACCAAAACAAATGGGGCTCCTGGGTGGCTCAGTCAAGTGTCTGCTTTTGGCTCAAGTCATGATCTTGGGGACCTGTGATCAAGGCCCATGTTAGGTTCCCTGCTTGGAGGGGAGTTTGCTTCTCTCCCTCTGCCTCTCCACTCTACTAGTGTTCTGTCTCTCTCTCTCTCTCTCAACTAGATAAATAAAAATTTTTAAAAGTCATATAAATAATTCAGGAGGGAAGAGAGGAACAAGTAGATGCAGGCTCCAGATTTTGAGTTGAGACCAAATGGAAGAAGGAAGAGGTTTGCAATTTTACAACTGTGGAATGAGTCAAAACTTCCTGGAATGCTGTAAAACAAGAGCCAATTGTGAAATGCTTTAAATAATAGTGAGTTAATAATGCCTTGATAATAGGAGTATAATTTATTGTTTGATGATGGTCTTTACTCAGTTTCTAATGTCGTGAAGGTTGAAGATTAAGAGATTCATCTAGAATCCAGAAGTAGCAATGGTTTTAAAGCTTGGAAAATATTTATCTTTTTTTTTTAAGATTTTATTTATTTATTCATGAGAGACAGAGAGAGAGGCAGAGACATAGAGAGAGAAGCAGGCTCCATGCAGGGAGCCTGACGTGGGATTAGATCCCGGGTCTCCAGGATCACACCCTGGGCCAACAAGTTCATTTCTTGTTATGCAGCTATTATTCACTAAAATACTAGCTTCTATAACACATATACCATTTTTTTCTGTTATTCAGTATGTATTATTGTTTAGCAAGATATTTGCCTTTAAGTATGAGCATGATGTTGAAATTTTTTCAAATTTATTATTTTGCTGCATGTTTCCAGTTTTTACTGAAATGTTTGTCTACACGTATTGTTTGTCCACATGTACTAAATATCTTATAAAAGAAATTTATTTAAATTTGTTGTATTTAACCTTGATTGCTTTATACCAATTTTTACTGATATGTGCTGTATATATATAAGAATTCTCAAAAATGTATTTGATATGTGGCATGCTTTTCTGTTGCTAGTACCAAGATGTAGCACCGATATTTGTCTTCACGATACTTCACATAAAGGTGGGGCTCCATCTACTGAATATTTTTTTTGTGTGTTTTGTTGTCTGTTATGTTTTCACTATTTTTTTTAGCTATATGACTTAGTACCTTTGTGATTATAATATATAAATATACAAAACCTGTGATTTCCTAGAACTTAATTACTGTACATTGTATACTATATTAACATGAGCATGTAATACTTCCCTCCACAAAACCACTGTAAAATCTTTTAAGTACTTTCACAAATATATACATGTATAATGAAAGGTATTTATTTCCGCCATAAATTTTTCTTGCAAGATTGGATGCTTTTATTTACATTCAAACCTTGTATTTCAGTGAATAAAGTACAGTTGACCCTTAATCAGCATGGGTTTGAAGTGTACAGGTCCACTTATACATGGACTTTTTTTTGATAAATACAGTTCAGTACTGTAAATGTGTTTTCTCTTGCTTATGAGTTTCTTAACCTCCTTTTCTCTAGCTTACTTTATTGTAATACATATAACATACAAAATATATGTTAATTGACTTTTTTATTATCTGTAAGGCTTCCTGTCAGCAGTACGCTATTAGTAGTTAAGTTTTGGGAGAGTCAAAAGTAATACAGGGATTTTTTTACTGCACTGGCCCTCACAGGAACAGGATTTAGAAGTCCGGATGGCCAAGGGGACAGGAAAGGAGGAGAGCATTTGAAAAACTTGCTCTGGCAAGGCAAGCCTGATCTCAGAGGGCTTGTTATCATCAAACATTCCAATGTTCCCCTTTCACAGCTGGTAGCAGCAATGCACAGTGAAGGAGAGAGAACCACCCTGTCAGGCATCACCTGCTCGGCCCTTACGCCCTGAGGCCTGCTGTCCAGACCTGCACAGGAGTCCGCTCTATTCAGTCCCCGCTTCTGTTTCCTGTGGGTTTCTTTCTTTCTTTCTTTCTTTCTTTCTTTCTTTCTTTCTTTCTTTCTTTCTTTTTTTTTTTTTTTTGATTTTAAAAATGTATTTATTCATGAGAGACAGAGACAGAGAGAGAGAGGCAGAGACACAGGCAGAGGGAGAAGCAGGCTCCATGCAGGGAGCCTGACGTGGGACTCGATCCCGAGACTGCAGGATCACACCCCCGGCTGAAGGCTACGCTAAACTGCTAAGCCACTCGGGCTGCTGAACCCTTGCATTGTTCACGGGCCAACTGTGCTATGATTCAGGTGCTGCAAAACAGAGAAAATAAGACTCTGATCCTGACATAAAATATCTAAGACTCTAGAGGAAGAAACAGACCCAAAACAGTAACTGATATGTGTGTTTCAAGAGGAAGAAGCCTTGGGGGTGGATAAGGAAGGCTTTATTGAATAGGTGATTTTTAAACTAAATTGTGGTTTACCAGGTCAATAAGAGGAGGAAGGGCATTCCAGAGAGAGCAGAGAGCATGAACCAAGACAAGGAAGCATAAAACAATATAGTACGCTCTGGAAATGGCGAATAGCTCAGTGAGGCTGGAGAATAGGGGGTGTGGGGGGAACATTCTGAGATAAAACAGAGGACTCCACAGAAGTCAGAATGCATGGGTCTGTCTGCCAAACTAAGGAGTTTAGACTTCAACCTCTAAGGAGAGGGGATTATAAGTGGAGGAATTTTTTCCTTAAAAAAAGATTTTTCCAACTGCAGTGTGCCGGAGAGCAGAGATGGAAGGCAAACTAGTTAGGAAGCCATTACGGCAATTAAATGAGAATGGTGAGGTCTGGAATGAAAGTAAATAGCATGGGGGAATGCTCAGGGTCATGAATGAGGGACCTTGATAAATGACTCTTAGATTTGGGCAGGAGAGGAAGGAGCCAAAAGCAGCTCTGTGGTTTCTAGCCTGGGTGACTTGAGGGAGGTTACAGCACTAAACAAAAATGAAAATGTCCTAGGTCTTTGGAAATTAATCTTGGACTCCTTCTCTATTCCAGGAACATACTACCAATCTCTGGCAGGCCTGTGCCTCCTATCTTCCCCATTCTTCTAATTATCCTTCACAGTGCTACAAAGTCATCTTCCTGAAGCAGCTCTGATTGTAGACGTTTCTGCTCAGAAACATTTGATGGGAGTCCCCACTGCATGCAGGATGAAATCTAAACTTCTTCAGGTACAGTCAAGACTCTCCTTGTTCAGGCAGGCCACAGGCTACCTCTTGGATACCTTTATCTTGCTAAGTATCTTTTCCTTTCACCACTCTCTGTAGCATTTGCTCCAAACATTAATCTTTGTTCCCTAACGCATTCTGTCATTTTATACCTTGAAGCCTTAGCTCCTGCTATTTTCCCCATTTGAATGCAGTTTCTTGCCCATCTGAAGTCTCAATCACACTTTTGGCGTCCTGCCTGGTTTTTCAGACAGTTGGGTCTTGGAATCCCTTCTATTCCCTTACCCTAGTGATTTCTACGCAGTAGAGGTTCAAAAATTGGTGATGGATTTACCTGGAGCAGGGATCTGAGTCCTGCATCCCAACCCACCGAAAGTTTAGCGTATAGTCTGGAAAAATGAGACGATTCTGCGAATCCATGACATCACTCATGAAAAAGAGTCTAGAGGAGTCACCTGTCTCTAGGGCTTCCTTTCGCTATCTAGAACATCCGTGACAAAAGGTGGAAGCAAAATAATTTGCGGTCAGGGGAGTACGGCTTCTCCAAATAGTTGGAAGATGCCTTTATTGTTTATGCAAAATAAAATACCTGGCGTACTGAGGCCCTACGGGATCTCAGATCTTCCGAGACGGAATCTCCCGGTGACTGGCGTCCTCCTGAGGTCAACTGCCCTGACCGTCGCGCGGTGTCCCCGGGAGTGGGTCAAACCCTCGGCAAGCGGGAACCGAGGCGTACCCCCAGGGCACTGCCGGGCCCCGCCCCGCCCCGCCCCGCCCCCGCCGGCCGCAGCCCCGAGGCTCCGAGGAACTCCCGCACGTCTGCGCGCGCAATCCCGGGACAGGGTCCACGCGGCGCGCGCAATTGCCCTGGAAACCACTGCGCGCGCACGCGCAAACGCGGGGCGGGGAGCAGGACTGAGCTAAGAGCTTAGCGGCTGGAGGAGGGGTTTGCCCTCCCAGTCTCCCGTAGCTTCCCTCGAGGGTGGGCGCGCGCGCCGCCCTTCTCCCTCGGGCGGAGCGTCCTTTCCAGCACGCTCCCGGCTCACGCGCTCCCCGGTCCCCCCCCCCCCCCCCGCCTCACACGCACCCTTGCGCTCCTCCCGCAGTTGTGCGCCGGTGCAGCAGGCAGTGGGAGCATCCGGGCATTTCCGCTAGCGAGCGGCGATCCCGGCGGCGGCAGCGGTCGCGGAGCTTCCCATGGCAGGGACGGGGAAGGGGGACGGCGAGAGGGGGGCGAGGCGTTAAGCCGGAGCCGCCGCGGGGTGGGTCCCGAGGGAGGCGGAGGGGGAGGCGCTCTCGCGGTCCGGCGCGGGGCTCGTCGCTCCTCTCGCGCGGTCCCCCGCCGGTCCGGGCTCCGGAGATGCATCTGCATCAGGTCCTCACCGGGGCTGTCAACCCTGGAGACAACTGCTACTCCGTGGGCAGCGTCGGGGATGTCCCCTTCACGGTGAGCGGCGTCCGGGAGCTCGGGGGGGGGGGGGCACCGGGGCCCGAGATCCGCTGTCCCGGCCCACGCCTCTCCGGGGAGGCTGTGCGGTGTTGGTGGGCCCCACCTGCGCCCCCTTTGCAGCCCTGTTTCGGGGGAGGGGGAAGCGGGCGTGGGACTGTGAGTCCTGCGGCTGCGGTAGGAAATTACCCTCCAGGGAGAAGGATTAGGAGTGCACCGCACTGTCCGTCCTCAGCAAACGGGCCCCGGGGGTGACTGGACTAGAAGGTTCCTCTCCTAGGGCGGCCCCCGGGTCTGCGGTGCAGGAAGATGGTTGCAGTCGCCGAAACCCCGGAGCGTCCGTTTCGCACCTGCTCTGGGCGTGGAGGCGAGGACTTGGTCTCGTCTCGGAGCAGGGAGGCGATGCTGCACCTGGCTCCCTCTGCCCGCCGTGTAGGGCAGCGAGCAGCGTCCGAGCCTGTGGCTTTCAACCCCAGGCGACCCGACCTTCTTCATTTCCTGACATGCACAGTCTTAATTCCAGCAAGGAAATAGAACATTTCATTCTTTGCCCCCGAAAAGTCTAAATGGAAGGCTTCGAGTGACAGTGGCCTGGAAAGCTAATTATCACGAGATCACAGTTTGGTAACCTTCCTAGGTAATGTTTAATCCGTTTGCGAGGTAGGCTGGTTTGTTTTTAAACTAAGGCAATGCAAAAATTTTATAACTGTTTTTGTTCTTGCTGTTTGTACGTGTAAAGTGTGTGTAAACAGTAACGTGTTAGAACCTCTTTCAGATCTCCATGAAAAAGACATGTTTTCTCAATGAGCTTGGACGGATCAGTGCTTTTGGAGAATGGATGTCGTTAGTATAGCTAATTCAAACTAAGCCCTAGAGATTCTTTTTATCCATAGATAGACTCCCATGGAGCAACGTGAGTTCCTTTTCCGTATGAAATTTATACAGGGTCCCCCTTAGAAGGCACTGTAGGCACTAAGATCTTGATTAAATACACATTGTTATTGATGACTTGTGCTTGATAGAATTCGAAATAGCATAATGATACGCTTTTTAGACAAATAAAACACTTTGGTCTGATGTCTTCTTTCCAACAGCGTGTTTTGAAAGCTGCAGAAATAAGAAAAGGTCCAGCAAAACTGCAGAATCATTATGTAGCACAGTGCATTCTGGAACAGAATTTGTCTATCATTATGATACATTAAAAATAACCCCACTAGATTGCTTTTGGCCATTTTAATTTTTAAATGTAATCAACTTGGCTTTGTTTCAGTTTAGAATGAACCTTTAAGGATCTAATTTGCCTGACTTATATTGTTACACATGACCCTATCAATGGTGTCATCTGTGTTTTGTGTCCATGTGACCTAAAAATCCATATAGAATTGAGCTTCGACTTCAGGTGTATAGAGGCAATTTGGGGCATAGAAGAAATTCCCCTGATGCCCAGTTGTATAGGTGAAGAGGAAGTTCCCGAGCTTAGAGGACTAGGCTTCCTCCATCAAGAAGTCTGGAACCTTGGGTTATGGGATATTTCCGCACTATTCTGGTGGTAGTAGTTTTGTGTTTCCATCTAAACTTGAGCAGTGTCTCATTGTAGGAAGGGTGAATAGAACCAAACGAGTTCAGATGCGGTCTGGAAGAGCCAGTGCAGGTATTATTAGCATTGTGCAGGTGTGGTTATGCTGTAGGCCACCCATGACCAGTGGTCCTTGAAATCATTTTCAAGTCTTACCACCTCCTTAATTCAACCTATCACTAAGGGTGACTGACTCTCTGCAGTGTCTATCGAATTTATCCCTCTTCACCTTAGTTACCGCCTGACTGTAGAACCTAAATTGTGTTAATATAAACACTTCTAAACTGGTTTTCCTCATACTCCTCTCTGATCAGTTAATCTTCCACACAGCTACTGGAATAATTTTTCTCAGACACCATTTCACCGTATCATTTTTGGCTTAAGAATATTAAGTTCCTAATAGATGTGTTGTGAAATTTAAGCTTGTCAGACATTCTTCTTCCATCTTTGACTTTATTTTTGATTATAAGTTCTCCTCATCTTGCCCTTCTGCTAATCATCTTACTCTATTCTACATTTTAAAGGATAGACCTACTAATTATCTTACTCTACCATACATTTAAAAAAATATTTATTTAAAAGAGAGAGAGAAAGAAGGAGTGTGGGGATGGCCAGAGAGAGAGCGAGAAAAGCAAACTCCCCACTGAGTGTGGAGTCAAATGTGTTTGGGCTTCATGTCACAACCCTGAGATCATGACCTGAACTGAAATCAAGAATCAGATGCTTGAACAACTGAGCCACCCAGGCGCTCCATATCCTACATTTTTATGTTGCAACACAAGAATCCTTGCTTTTTATTTTCCCAAATATGACTCAAAATTTACCTGGTTTAGGATACTTGCCTATGATTCTGATTATTTTGGCCTTTTGGCATTTACAGAGTCATGCTGCTCACCATCTCATTTTAATATTTTAGTTTTGAGTGCACTGATCCAGTTATAGTTTCACTGTGAACTAGAAATGACCTTCTGAACCCTAAGAAGAACAGATTTGCTTAAAAAAAAATTGAGAACAAGCTGTTTTCAAGTACTCTATTATCAACTAACAATTATCTGAATGCCTACATTAGTATATTAAAAATAAAAAAAAAACCCACAAAAGTAGAGCTCCTTTACATAGAGTGTACCATTTGATTTTATAGCAATCAGATGAGAAACTTTAGTTCTGGGTCAGATGACTAAAAAGGGGACCAGCCAGGACTGGAATGGAGGTCCTGTGACTTCTCCTCTGGGAGGCTTTTCTTTGTAGTATGTTTCTTTTCTAGCAGAGTGCTTGCTTTGGAGGGTGTGTGTATGTTCAGAAGGCGCAGTCATGGCCAGTGTAGAAAGAAAGACTGTCTTGCAGCTAGACAGTGGTTTTTAGCTAATGTTATCTTTTATGATAACTTGAGGACCTTTTCAAAATAGTGTAGATCATTTATTTCAGTCTGTAAACTACAAAGTTTTTGAAAGGAATTATTGTTAAAGGATTATGAAGCGTTCATGACATTGTAATTGAAAAACAGTGTGTTATATATATATCGCACTGTGCATGGTGGGTAGTGGGTGGTGTGATTATCTGGGTTGTGAATGACTACTTATGTCACCATGGCCCAATCTGTGCTATGTTGTCATGATGGTGCAGTTTATAATGGACAGTCCAAGTGATGTATGTATCTGTAGTGCTAACACACGCTATGATGGTTTTCACTTGTGTTTGGGCAGTTAGTGATTTTTAAAAACAATTGTGATGTTATAAATGTAGTTGTATATATCACCTTTTGATCATTTTGTTCATTTCAGTGTAAGAGCTAAGTTATGGAAATACTGTTATTCTGTGATAAATCAGGACCCAGATAATCCAAGGAGATGATCTTTTACTATGTATGAACTTTGTTGTAATTTATTTTTCTGAGACATTCCCAGTACCTTCTTCTATATGAATGTTTTAAGGTTTAATACAACAACAGATAGTGTAAATTTTCCTTATTTATGTTTTTTATTGCTTTCCTGGAAAATAGTATTTAGTTTTTCAAATTTTTCCTGTAAGCATTAAAATATTAATTAAAATTATGATTATTAATATAATTATTTTTTTTTCACATGTTGACCTTAAGGGATACAGCATATTTTCATGTGTATAAGGGTGGTTCATGTTATTCCAGTCTGATATGAATTCAACACATTTATTAAAGTTTGCAAAAATTAGTCATTTCCACGCAGTTTATCATATGCTGGTAGAGACTAAAAATGATGTACATAATTATAATGTAAGGCAGGTGAAAGAGATCACATATAGTTGGGAAGATAAAAGATTTCATGTAAGATTGACAGTTGTAAAGACAGGTATTAGGCCTTTCTGGATGGCAGGAACAACACAAGCTGAGGAATAGTGTGATATAAAGGATAAATTATTGGGTGAATATTCCTTCACAAAGAAATTTAAAAAACACAAAAGACTACCTAATTAAATAAGAAAACACCCTCAGAATGTTGAAAAATATAATTTGCAAACATTACTCAAAACTTTTTAGGAAAATGTGTTCTGATGCTTCCTAACTTTTTGTTGTTTTGCCTTTTTCTTAAAGTATCACCAGAAGGTTAGTAATGAATGAAAAAACATTTCATTTAAAAGTTAGAAGTTACTGTTAAGTGACCTCTTTCTCTGGCTTTTAGATATATTTTAATTCTGCAGTATAATAATATTCCAGTCCTAGAATTATGGCAACACTAAACTTTGAAAATGACCAGCCTATTTATACATTTAGCAAATATTTGTGAAACACATAGGTGTGTGAGGCTCTGTGGAGGTCATCAACAATGGCAACAACAGAGGAATAAAAACACAGTACTGATTTCTGGGAGTTTATTCAAGAAGTATAGGAATCTGGTAATCTACTTGGAGAGTTAAGACATGTACTTAACCACAGCCAGCTGGCTGTGTAGCGTTGTGAGGCACTTCCATTCTTGTGGGAATTCAGGAATAAGGGATTGCATTTGGCCAGGAGAATGGGGAGGTTGAATGAATAGAAAAATGCTTCTGTGCTGGTCAGTTATCAATGCCTATAACAACTCACAGCTATCGACAGCCTGTGCTGATAAGTAAAGGGAAAGACAGCAGTCAAGAATTCAGAATGGAGTTGTTTTCTAAGAGAGGTTGGCTTGTTTGTTCCTGGAGAGTAGCTTCTTAATTGTTTAAATTGATCTCTTTCAGAGTTTGTGGGCTTGTGTTTGGTGTGAGCCTATAGGTAAGTAGGGGGTTACGTAAGTTCTTCTGTCCCTGTGGAGATTGTTAGTTAGCTTTCCTTCTTATAGTGGGGAGACTCTTAGAGGCTACCCAGAAATTCTGGTACAAGTCCCAAATAATACCT